GCTTATGTGATCTGGTTAAACTTAATTCTTAGGCTATTTTCTGGACCATTTAACAGGTGATATAGTAATAGCAACTGCATCTAATAGTTACACGGAAGCTGCCAACATCCAGAAAGTGGCCATCAGTGGTCCGGGTGTATGTGAAAAATATGTATGCTAAGCATATCTTTTTTCAAGCATGAATTTGGAATTTGTTCAATTTTCATTCTTCCATTATCTCCCTTCAAAATGAAACATTTCAAAGAATATAATAAAACACGAAGGTAAATAAAAAAACAGTGCAAGTCAAATTTATGGTGTGGGAACATAAGGCTTGCTATTACAGCTTTTAATGGCAGATAGTTTACAATAAACATTGGGCTTAGCCTGGTAGAAAATAGTCACAGACAGGAGGTAATTACTTGTCCATCTCCAAGCATCACAAACTCTGGAGTCCCTCCAGTTGAATAACGCAGATCTGCCAACTGTCACTCATTTGGACTAATGCCTTTTTTGTTGTTTTAATTAAATTGGGGGAAAAAACCTCATAAGATAAACCTCCCTCTGAAAGTGCTAAAATTCTATGCATGGATAAATCCATGACCCATCCTTTTACAAGGTCTTTATTAGACTTGAGTAAATCACATAGCCAACCATAAATAGAGTCACAGAGGGAGTGGAATGTATGTGTGCTGGAAAGGGCCCGTTGCCAGCAAATCTGAATATTACAGTGAGGGTTCTAGAAACAGGAAGAGAAAAGCAGCTAGATCCCAATACAGATAGCAAGGATATAAATGGACCTTGCAGTGAGCTTTGCATCATCACATATGAAATAATAAATACACCCAAACAGTGATAAAAAGAGGAAGAGCAAAATTATGCAAAAATTCTGTTGTTAAGATATGTGGGCAGCACGGCTCAAAATAGCAACCAAGCAGCTTTCCAGAGACTTGAAGTTTTAGATAAAGAAAATATAATCACTCTAATTCTTATTTAATCGTGTCCCCTCCAGCTTGTGTCAGAAACTGTTACCTACCTCTGGTTATTTGGGGATTGTGGAACTTCTCACAAAAATATACCTGAAACAGATTCTCACGAGCCCACATTCTAATTTTAGGGTGTTTTTTTTTTTTACATTTAAAAACAGAACTGTGGCAAAATTCAAGGTGATGTGTAGAGAGAATAACTAAGATGCAAATGACATTCGCATTTACTATTAATCTCTAATATGCTTCGCAAATAACTTACATTTATATTTGCTTTATAAATACTCCAGATTAAAGAGTAATTTAGCATTAACTCTTAATTGTTAACTAAAGTGTTCCTTGTCATTAGTAATACCTTAGATTAGTTCAAATCAAGGACTCTCAATGTTACTAAGGGTGTTTTCTTCTGAAAGAATGTGGGTAAAAGCAAACTCTGATTTTTATTTGCTGTTATCATTTCATTGGCGAAGAGCTTGCCCCGGTGGGCAACGTAAACTTCCATTTCATTTGGCAGGGCATGAAAACATGTTTCCTTACACAGCCGTGTACAGCAGAACCGGTATCTATCCCATGGTGATGATAATAAGACCGACTCAGATGGAAAGGCCTCTGTGTTCTCAGTGTCTTGAGAGCAAGATGCCAGGAGAATAGCCATTTGCCCTGTTAATTTCTCCAGGATGTCAGATTGCCAGCAAAGAACATTCATTTCACACTGGGGGAACAAAAATGGAGGTGTGGTCATAGTTTTTCATTTTCAAAGCTAGTCACTAAGAGAGGCATCGATTAAAAGCCCAAATTCCAACACCCTTCAATTCACTCTCTGAACCATGTCTAGGCATCATTTGTCCAAGGCGCTCTGATTCCCACATTGTAAATAATTGTATAAGGAGAAGGCATCTAAATTTTTGCCATTTAAAATCTACTAAGAGCCTTTGGTATGTAATAGGGCAGCCACCAGCCACATGTGGCTATTGAAACACCTGAGATGTGACTAGTCCCAACTGAGACGTGCTGGAAGTGATAAATACATGTTGGACTTCGCATATTTAGTGCCAAAAAAGTAAAATATGTCATTAGTAAGTTTTATATTGATTAAATGTTGAAACAAGAATGTCTTAATATAGTGGGTTTAATTAAATATATTACTAGAATGAATTTTACCTGTTTCTTTTTACTTTTCTAAATATGATTCCTAAGAAATTTAAACTTATGTGGCTCTCGTTATATTTCTATTGGACAGTGCTAAGAAGACTCCACTTTCTGAAACTTCAATTGAAGTTTACAGTGTTCTTTTTTTAAAATTCTTTTTTAGAGACAGAGTCACGATCAGTCACCCAGGCTAGAGAGCAGTGGTGCAATCATAGCTCACTGCAGCCTCAAACTCCGGAGCTCAATCGATCCTCCCACCTCAGCCTTCTGAGTAGGGACCACAGACATGTGCCACCATGCCCAGCTTATCACGCTTTTTTTTTTTTTTTAAAGAAAAGACAGCTTCTCATAATGAACTAAGTTGGGGGTCTGAAAAACATTCAATTACTCATCTTTACTATACAGAAGATTTACTGAAATTACACAACCTTGGCTAGGTGGGAATACATAAGCGGTCCCTTATGCAGATGGGACATTTTTGTGCACCTGAATATGGCCCTTGGGAGAATCCTAGTGGGATAGTACATGGGGAAATAATGTGGAGGTTAGTGGTCATTTCCCCCTTCTTTCTACCTAACATTAGAAACAGAATTTCAATATATCTATCTGTCCCCAGCGGTTTCCCCATTCATGCATTGATTCTAACCCCAAGCAAGAAACACACAAATGGTAAACAATGAACTAAATTAGCCAGTGCATTTAGAGCGGACAATATCTAAACGTCCCAATCACTGAGACTTTGTTTTTCATCACTGGTCTCTCCAATCACAGCAGTTGTTCCTGCACCCTTTTGGGATTTCCAGCCAAAAAGTCTGAGATTAAATGTTATCAGGCCCCCACCCTTGCCTTATCACGTAGCCACAATAGAGGGCAGGGGAGGAAAAACATGTAAGACTGAATGTTGGAAGCAGGGCCAGCTCTAAGTGCAGAAAGAGTAGGCAAGTATTCAGAAAACGTGCAGCAGCCTCCAGCAGACTGCAGACGCTCTTCTCCTGAAGCTCTTTTTAGCTTAAACCTTTGAGGCACGTGCACCCAGGTGTACCCCAAACTAGTCATTTATAACTTACTGTGAATACTTTTCAGGTCCATTCGATTCAATAAATATTGACTGTGTGTGGCTGCCCTGAGCAGATTTTGCAAAGAGCGATCGGAATCTCCCTCCTGACCTGGAGGGAGAGGGCGCAGACGGGAAGGCTGGCAGTGTAGACCGCATACGTCATCCGGCTCCGGGTCTAGCCAGCGTTCAGTGTTGCTGAGAAATGCTTGCATCAGAAGGGAACTGACACGCCCGCGCACACCACTGAGTGGGGCCACCAGCAATTCTCGGAGGCCTTCGCCATCCTCACCGTGAGAACCTTCCTTCCACTCTTCTTCCTCTCCCCATCGCCCTCCCCCAGGCCTACGCCTACCTCTATTGTAGAACTTACTCCATGGTCTTGTTTAATTTCCTTCCTCCCCAACAGGCACAAAGACTGCGTTGTATTCCCCTGTGAGTCCACGGAACCTCGCACAGTACTGGCACTTAAGCACTTGATAAGCGTTTGATGAATGAATACATGACTTCGTCTTTCAGTCTCATTCGGGTACCAAAAGAGTCTATCACCCTGCCCATGGCACTTGGGTGAAGGAAGTTGCAAACCTCTCCATCAAACTATGCTTGCATAGTTTCTAATCTCTGGACACAACATTGTGAAACAAAGACGAAGGGGAAGAGGCGCGGGACAGGTCAGGGCTAGCAGCTCTTACCACCCACGTGCACGTACACCTATTTATATACAGCCACAGTGTTGCTGTACCCTCCCCATGCGCCTCTGTTACTGTTTTGCCCCAACCTCAGTGGGTTTCTAGGACAAAGATCATTAATATGACTTGTTTTGCACTTAGGAAAAAAGAAAAAAAAGCAAGATATATCAAAACTCTTTCCCCACAATCATAGGGCTATCACACTGTTTAGCAAACTGCCCCAGCACCACTGCCCAGCGTTCGTGATACGCTGCAAGTAAGTGCCTGGCACTCAGAAAGCTCAAGGTTCCAGCAACAGTTGTGTGGCCTTGGATAAGGAACACAGGGAGACTCTTTGTCCTCTTGTGTCTTCAGTGTATTAAAGGGAGATAATGGTATATTCAATGGGCATGAAAAAAGCTTAACATTAGTCTGCATGAAGCTCTTTGAAATGCATGAAGGGCACTACAGTGTATAAATTCAACACTTGTCCTAGTGTTCACTCGGAGCCCTTGTCCAGACATTTATAGATTCTCTCTGTGGATGTGTACACACACACACACACACACACACACACACACACATAAAGACATCTAAAATTGCTTAATTGCTTTTAAAATTTTTAAGTAAACACATTGTAACGATTGCAAGGCCTCTGTGCAGTGTATCCAATGCAAGCCTGCCATGATAAGAGCCATTTGAGAAACTAAATCACATCAATGAAAGAATAGCAATGAGTCAATTGATGAAATATTGCATTAGCAGTGGCCTCTGACCCTATGTGATACCAACCAAATGCTTTTTCCCCCTTCTCTTGGTAATTTAATTATTTTTCAATTAAATTAATTTCTTAAAATCACTCAGATAAGCTGCCTGTGTTAGACACACACACAGACACCATTCCAGGTGTAGGTGAAATAAAAGACAAACTGCAATCGTGCTGTGACTCCCAACCTCTGCTTTATTGTGGAAATGAACAATATCTTGTTTCTCTTTTTTTCTGTATCTGACAGGAATTTTCCATAACTTCTTCCTGGTACCGTGTGAAGTCAAAGGGCCCCCACATAACCCAAGGCAGAGACCGAGTTACCACAATATAAAGCTATGAAAATACACCAGGAGAGGCCCCACAGTGTGTCCGCCAGACAGACTGACTGGCTGTTTTTTTTAAAAATGTATTTTAATACCAACCAACTGGCTCAGAAGATGGCTTTGTAAAGGTAGCTCAGAGAAGAGTGCTAACAAGCCCGCCCCACGCGTCTGTGCTCGGGCTTGCTGGGAGAGCGTACTCCACATACATCCAGGAATTTGTTTGAGGACTGAGCGTGGTTAAGTCATGTTTTAAGAATGTTCTCTCATTATCCTGACTCAGAGGGCGCCGCGAGCCACGCAGGGATGTTGCACAGTGATACCTTCTGTTCTGTCTGGTTTTCGAGAACCGCCTTCACTGTACTGATGGCTGGAGACTGATGTCATTCAAGGTTAACTCCTCAACGTCTTCTTTTTTCCAGGGCTAGAGGAAGAGGACCTTTTCCTGCTGACATTTTTAAAACTTTGTTACCTAGGAGTTGGGCTTGCTGAGGGAGGGCGGAGGGGAGGACAGTGTCTAGGAGAGGTGAGTGGAAACGAGGAGAGATTACATGGAAGAAGAAGAGAGAACCAATTACAAAAGTCTATAAAACCAGCCAAGAAATCTGTTTGGGAAAATAGAAATCTCAGCGCTGTGGTTTGGCAAGTACCTTTGACTCTTAATGAGAAAGACAGAGAGAGAAGAGAGGGGAAAGGGGGTGGAGGGAGGAGGGGAGAGAAGAGAAGAGGAAGGAGAGGCAGGTGGAGAGCAAAAAAGGAAGAAGAGTTGGGGGTGGGGAGGAGCAAGACTCAGAATGTGACAAACACCCCCATCAATAAGGGACATTATGAGGAAACTCATTGGAACGAGAGATAAGGTTAAAAATCAGGATACGCTACCCAATATGGAACATCTGGTCATGTCTGTGTCCTGGAACTAAGAGAAATATGTTTGATAATTCATCTTTGCTCATCTTGTCTCATGCCGATGGACACGCACATGCTTGATTGATGTTTTGAAGTTTCCTGAAAGGCTGGAACAGGGATGGTGAGGTCATAACTGCCAATTCTGGTGAGAAACCTCCTCGCAGCTCTCCACAATATATCAGATGCACACGCACGCACATACATGCACATATATTAATACACGCGTACACACACATGCACACATACAATTCAAAACCATTCCATGGCTTTCCACTCTACTTAGAATAAAATCCCACCCAACTCTCACCACCTCACCAGGCTTCCCTCCCAGCCATCTTCCAGCTACACTGGCTTCCTTTCTTTTCTTTGAATCCCCTGGGCCTTCTCTCACCTTAAGACCTTCCCAATCCTGTTTTCTCCACCACCAAAAGGGCTTCTGTTTGCCCTCTAGGTCTTGCCCAGAGAGGCCATCTTTGCCCACCCCGTTTAAATAGGTGCCCATCCTCCCCATTGCCCGCCCCCCCCCCAGCATTCTCTGGCACTGCACCCTCTTGGTGTCCTGGCACTAATTATCACTTGTTAGTGTATATCTATTACTTTGTCTACCTGGAAATATCCTTGACACCTACTGGCCATTCAACTGTTTGATTAAATGAATGGAAGGAACATTCCAGATTCACTGATTTGTTACCCACAGTTTTGAACGCTGGCAGCCGGGCCCCAGCAACTTCTTTGCTCTGTGTCCCCTCCTCCTCCTGGCGGCTCCAAGCCTAGTTCCCACCCAGGCCTTGAAGACTTTCCTGCTGCCTGTGGATGCCCTGAGTCCAGGTAGAGTGGAGGTAAGCAGGCACCGTGGGTGGGGCAGAGGCCATGAGAAGCCCCAAAGGGTTAAAGAAAGAAATCAGAGTTAGCAACTAATCTGATGCTTCTTCTGTGTCATTAGAAAAAACAGGAAGAGAACCAGAAAAGCGATAGCTCTGATGAGGGAAGGGGGCAGGCGTTAGAAATACTCCACCACCCGGAGGGTGGTGTGGTCATCAGAGGGGTCCCTACTGCCTCCCTGTGACTGCAACACAGGAAATTAGTGATTAGAGAGGAGGCAGCATCTGCTCCTCCATCAAGCCTGCTGCTTCTGACTGTTGCCCTATTCTCTCCCTTACTGGTTCTGCGCTTTTATCTAAACAAAATGTCACAGAGTAACATCTATTAATACTTGTGCAGGTACAGGCATTGGTCAGTGTTCATGTTCCCCTCCCCTCTTGATGAGAAAAATTGTTTTTTGTTTGGCCTGAGTATTTATCTGGCCAGAAACATATTTAATGCTCACATGGGATTCTTAAGGCTGCCATAGCTTTCTGAAACCTGAGTCTTTCTCAGGGTTTGAGGATCAGTCCCCAAATTAAACTCTTGGCCAAACATGTATGGCTTGAGTTTATCCAAAGTCCAAACAAATCAGATATTCCTTCTGGACAGAAGTCAAATTCTTTCTTTTGGCAATCATTTTTCACAAATTCAAAAAAGCAATATGTTTTATGTTCTCAAAGTTCCAATTATTACATCCAATCTTGTATCAATTGCCATAATGAAGGGTTTTGAAAAGCCTGAAGCTTCCAAAATTGATAAAGAAATCAAAGCCCAACTGAACTTTTGACAAATATTTTGGCACTGTAGGATCCAAAAACTTTAATGAGTTTGCCCCCTCTTTGTAAAATAGCACAATAGACCAGCTCCAATTCCAAGTGAGGAAAATTCTAAGGGATCTCCCAAAGGACATGCTTTTTCTTATTAATTGTAGAGAGTTTGCCAACCTCTGATAGCATCAACTTTATTCCAAAACAGAATTGGATCTCAAATATCTGACCTATGAAAGCCCAACAGACATTACTAAATTTCATATAGTTTATGGATGGCTGCAAGCCTCAAACAGGATACACCCTCACAATTAGAGATGAGGTCATAAAATGTCACTTTCTGAAATTCAGGATAAAAAATAATCAATATAAAATTACCCACAATGACATTAATAACATAAGGTTAATGTTTTAAAGAAGTAACGAGCCTTTAGAGATGTTTAATAAATTTATTGGTGATATACTTTGGGGTGTTCTAAAATCTCAGCAAGGAGAATTAAATTTATATATATAATGTAAATAATGATGGTAGCCACTATTTGTTGAGCAGCTACTATGTGTCAGGAACAATGCCAGAAACTCTATAGACACAATTTCATTAATCCTCACATCAACTCATTGAGGAGGCTCTGATCATTCTCACTTTAACTATGAGGATCTTGAGGTTCAAAGAGTGACATCGGTTGATCACTATGATATAGCAAGTGCCACCGTTGGGATTTTAACACAGGTTTTTTCAACTTCATAATATGATGTTAATGACATAAATAGAAGGGAAATGGTCCCTTGAAGTTGAGCAAAAAGGCAGTTAACTGAAATGAAAATGTGGTAAAAGTCTTCAAAAGCTTTGGGGTAAATATCCAAATCAGTTATTCAGACTGAAATGTCCCTAGAGGGAAGGAAGGCTATTCCTTAAGGCCTCCTCGATCTGCTAGCTATATCCCTTAAGTAATAACATCCCTTACATGTAATTTAATATTCATCAAATCTTCTGATCTTTAATTTCATCTCCTGGGGATACCTTTCCACTGGGAGGAAGTACCTTGTGCACAGAACCAGGGTCAGCCTGCCAGCTTTATTCTCTGAGATAAAATGATAACTTATCCAGGTAGAGAACAAATTTGTCTCCTCTGAGTGGGATTATTAGGAATCAGTTCCAAAAAAGGTCACTTCTGAATTAAATAAAATGTATTTTCTCATACTACAAAACCAAGAACCAAATCCTGGGTCTTCAATGACCATCATCAAAATATATACATATTTTGTGTGTGTATATTAATTCTTCAATTTTTTTCCTTTGGGCATCCCATGTTCATGGACTGGAAGAATTAATACGGTGAAAATGACCATACTACCAAAAGCAATCTATAGATTCAATGCAATCTCTATCAAAACATCTATGACATACTTCACAGAAATTGAAAAATAATCCTAAAATTAATATGGGACCATGAAGAGCCAAAGCAATCCTGAGCAAAAATAACAAAACTGGAGGCATCACACTACCTGACTTCAAAGTCTACTACAAAGCTATAGTAACCAAAACAGCATGGAAGTAACATAAAAACTGACACATAGATCAATCGAACAGAATAGAGAACTCAGAAATAAATCCACATATTTATAGCCAACTGATTTTCAACAAAGTCCCCAAGAACATTCATTGTAAGCCAGAGAAAATGTTATTAAGAAAATCATAAGGATTATTATAAAGATCTTCATCCTTGTTATCTTCATGTTAAGTAGGCTGGGGAGAAGGAACAAGCGAGATCAGTCTTGCTGTCTCAGGGCTGGTAGAGGCAGAAGAAAATCTGAGTATAAGTGGACCCCTGTAGTTCAACCCATGTTATTCAAAGGTCAACTGTATACATGTATATAGTCCAGAAGGCTCACCTTGAAACAGCCTACCAAACTCTCTAACTATTCAATGACATCAACATAGGACTACTTTTAATGGGTGACATTAAGAGATTGTCACATTGCATACCCACATTCTGGCCAAATATAGCCATAGGATAAATGCAGAATGTTACAACAGCTGCCCGAATACTCAATAAGTCATCAGCCTGTTTTTAAAATGAATCAAGTGAATGCCTTGCACCAGGGTGTGTGAGGAGAACCTATGGAGCTCTAAAGGACTAACATGCTCACAGTTCCATTCTTAGGAAAGCTGTTCCTAGAGATTCTTTTTGCAAACTGCCATGGTTCACACCATGGGCGCTGCATGAAGGCAACACCACCATATTGGCCTCAACTGATAAGAACAGGAACCCATTAGTCAGGGCAAAGCCCAAGGCAAAAGGACCATGTTTAAATCGTAGGTGAGGGAGGCCATCTGCTTCTGAGGTCACTCAGCATAAAGCTCTATGCCCAGTAGGTGAGTTCTTGATTAGATGGTGACAAAGAGACCCAGTTAGAATCTCCCTTAGGGAGAGGACATATTAGGTAGACAGAGAGGGTGGGTTGCTCCAGTTCAACTGAGTAGCTGGGCCAGGTCTCCATGAGGCGGTTGGACATCCCAGTCTCAGAAACCTTGGTAGACTTAGAATGACCAGCTACCCTTCTGGACAGTTTACTCTTTGCACTGGATTAAATATTTTCTTCAAAAATGTTATTTCTAAAACTTAATGCACACTCTACTTGAAGTTAGTCTTTGCAGAACTCTTAAATTGAGTTAAAGAACTTCCTGATGCTTGCTGCTGTCTGAATATTTGTGTCCCTCCAAAATTCATGCTGCAACCTGATCCCCATTGTAGGGTATTAAGAGGCGGGGCCTTTGGGAGGTGATTAGGTCATGAGGGGTTCACCCTCATGAATGGGATTAGTGCCCTTAGGAAAATGACTTGGTGGAGCTTGTTTGCTCCTTCCACCATATGAAGATGCAACAGGAAGTTGTTATATATGAAGCAGAGCAGACCCCAACTCTGCCAATGTCTTGATTTTGGACTTCCTAGCCTCCAGAACTGTAAGCAATAAATTTCTGTTGTTTATAAAGCATCCAGTCTAAGGAATTTTGTTATAGCAGGAGGAATAGACTAGGAAAATGCTTACTTGCAAACACCAAATATCTCAATCATTGGAATCCACTATCTACTTAAGTCTTAATTTTTGCTTTACTTATTCATCTCTACCAGGGACAGTGTGCAGAAAGTAATGAAAAGTAGGGTCCTTTCCCCAACTAGGAATTATTTTTCTTCTCTACTTTAATATTTCCCTTCTTAAGCACTTTGTTTTTTAATGCTAGAACTTATCATATTTATAATTTACATGCCTCGCTTAAGTTTACTCATCAAACACTAAAGTTGGAGTTGCTTTATGGGTTTTCATGGGCTGACCTTTGGCATTATCACCCTCTTTCAAGGGCACCATGATTCTTTTCATAGAACTTAATTTTCAAAAACACTTGAAATGTAGAAGAGTTTAAAACTGAGATATGAAGTGACTTTTCCAAGCCTTGTTATTTAAAAATCTTAAATTATATATGGTTAACACTTACATGCATTAAATAAAACATGCCTTAGAAAGCAAAGCTACTAATTATTGAGTGCTTACTGTGTGCCATGCATGATGTTAAATGCTTTGTCCCTTCTCATTTAATCCTCACAACAATCTTTTGAGAAAGATAGTATTATTTTATATAGACCTTAAAGTGGAAGGAGAAAAGTCTGGGTCCAATATGTACCAAAGTGCTTTTCTGACCAGTAGGCAACATCAAGGAATTGGGGATGCAGAGCTCTACTTTTAAGCCCTGGTTCTGGAATTGACTGTGTGTTCTTAGTCATATCACTTCTCTTCAACCAGGTGAGGACCTGGACTTCAACTTCCTCCTGTGTTAATCAATAATGATAAATAATT